TGCAGAGCCCTGCTGCTGTCGTTAACTCACATGTCCTCAAAGCCTGAATCTGGAGTAGGATTTAAAGAAAATTGAGATGGTCCAGTTTTCTGTCCTGTGCCTATTACTATGAATGAAGGGGAACTTTAAAATTGCGCTTTCTCTTGAAAGACACTACTTAAGGTCTGAAGGATAAATGGGACATAGCCTTGGAGGTATATTCTAACTTTATTGTACAACTGCTCCTCTTTATTATATTATGGCAAGAACTGAGTCTTGTATATAAATAAATAAATATATATAAAGAAATATATTTAAGTATCGCGGGGGCTCTGGGTGTTGCAGTGTACTGCAGCTTTTTACAGCCAAATGTTCTCTTCTCTTTCAGCTGTTATGGTGGCCTCGGACGCTCGTGTCTCAGTAAGCACTTGCCTTCTCCGTCTAATCCATCCAAGAAACCCGTTGTCATGAGGCAGCACTGTCTAAAGGAGCCAAATTCTGCTTGAAGCTTAACTGTAGTTAAAATGCAAACTGGCACTGCAGGTAGCAGGGTGGTTAATGCTTTTGAGCCTATTTCTTGGCAAAGGTGTAGCAATATTTGCTGCCTGTATAGAAACTGCCTATTGTGAGTGATGTAATTATGCCATGGTATAGACCTGAGTATGTAGGGAAGACAATGGAGGATCAAGCAGGATCAGTCTTACAGTGAGGCTGATGGAAAATTCTCTTTTTCTGACTTTCTCTGTTTTCACTCCAAATTTTAGTCTTGTCTGACCAATGGGATTGCACTTTCCCCTCTTTCTGGACCATCTCCTCAAGAAAGGAGGAGATGAAGATATTACTCTGCATCTACCTCCAGCCCAGTGTTTCCCCTAAAGCTTTCAGGGGCATTAGCTATTGCGTGTGCTCAAGAAGGAAGGGGTGGTGATACTGCCAACACTAACAAATAGCGTTCAGCAAAAGATCCAACAGATCTGTGACCCCAATATGATGAGGTTGAGTTTTGCTAGAGTGGCTTTTCATGGAACAAAGCTATTACTGTGCAGAAGTGGTACTGCATACAGCAAGAGCTGCTCAATAGTGTGTGTATGTACCTCTCTCTTACAGTAGCTGCATGTCTCCTGCTTCAGCTTTTGGATACACTGACGCCTCAGCAAGTGATAGACGATCTGAGAAACTTGAGAGGATCTGGGGCAATACAGACCATCAAGGTATAAGGCTATGGCAGGTAACACACATTGTTGAAATGAGAATGGGGTGCTCAGACAGTCCTCTCGTTCACAAAGCCTTTCTGAGAAGCTCCACAGCTGGTGCCCCTGCTGCTCTCTTGGGTTTGAGCTGCTTCGAGCTTTCTGCTTTCCTGTTAATCTTCCCTTATTCTGCCTCTACTGAATTAAGAGCTGTTTTCCCTGCCTGCTCTTCACCAACATCAGTAACTTGTTGCTTTCTCCTCCTTTTCCCTGCTCATCACACTCTAAGCTATCATACCTTCTCCTGTTGTTCACATTCTCCTTGCAACTTGGACATCTGCTTGATTTTTCTGCCTTGGTTTTGTTGTGTCTTTCTAACCCAGCTAGCCATGTTCATGCTGGCAGTCTTCTTTTAAGTAATATCCCTAGCACTAAACTTAAAACCTACATGGAGGGAGGCCTCAGTTGCTGAACATAAAGGGTTTTTCTTGGTTTGGTGGGATTTTTAGTTACTCTGTACATACTTTTATTGATGCAAGTCCTAGATGTTATGTTCTTAAAAGAGTTCTGTGTACAGGAAAGAGGAGCTGACATTTAAAAAGTTTACAAGACGGTAGTTTCTGAGGAGAAGGAGTTGCCTAAAAACTGTCTCTTTGTTAGCTCTGAGCCTCTCTGGAAGGCAAATCTTGTTTAAACTACTTGTTGAAAATCAGGTTTCTATAAACCAAGGGTGCAAGTGGGAAGCAGCTTTCATCCCTGGTTGAAGAGGCAGGGAAGGATCTGAACAAATGTTATAATTGGAAGCCCTCAGACACTTGGGGTGGGTGATTTGTCCTTTAGACTCTGCTGACCAACATCTTTATCTCATTTTACACACTTGCCTATTAATACCCCCCATGATGTATGAGTTGACCTAAGAACTCTTACCCCAGACTATTGTACATCGCAGTAGTAGTTAAAGTCTGTTCTCAATCATTGACTCATGGAGAGAATAATACCCTTGGTGACCCAAATAAAGCAGCTTTGAGTTCTGATGTGAAGCTCCCATCTACTGAGGACCTTGTTTTGCATTACCTTGAGCTCACTTGTGCCCTTCATAAGGAACCACAGGATCCAAGCCAGGATCCATGTGATCTGTGTCTGATGGGGGGGGGAAAATCCAGAGGATTTGAAGCAAGCACAAGAACAAATGACAGATTAGAGGGTGCAGTTTTCGTCCTCGGGTATCAAACAGCTTTTCAAGATGGGTAGTGCCTTTTCTATAGTATAAAGTGTAAGTATAAAGCCCTCATTACAAATCTGGTTGTGCTTTTTCAGCAATACAACTACCTCCATGACTTTCGGGAGAAGCTAGCGGCACATCTGGCATCGCAGGATACGGTATTGAGATCAGTATCGCGATAATGAATACCAGTGTGGTGCGTGTTTGTGTCTGCACAGCTGTGGCAGACACCTGTGCGCATCTCTCTCCTGACCTTTACGCTTTCTCATCACTGCTGCCCGTGTAACGCAGGGGCTTATGTTCACATCTGGGTGTCAAATGTTGGGGTGATGGGAGCAAGTCCCATGGGACTAACAGCATTTCCTGTTAGATAATCAATAATACTGCCTTAAAAACGCACAGAATTGTAGTTGTGTTTGTTACTGTTCTGCCTAAAGAGCTCATTTTCACTGTAATAATCACTCTGATGCAATGTTTACCTCGTGTTTAACGTCACTTGGTACCAACAACATACACATCTGTTGCCACTGAGCTGCTATGCTGATGTTTTCATGTTGCTTCAGTAAACTTACCAAAGGGAACGGAGGGCTGCCAAAGCAGCAACTGAATTTCATTTTTACTTTCTCTGTTCTACGTAGTGAGAGAACTGGAACAAACAATTGGCTGTGAAGGCAGGATCTGCAAGGAAACACAACAGTCTGTCACTCCTCACAGCTAAACGTGCTTCTACTCCAGTGCGTAGGGGAAGGAAAAGGTGGAGAGGTGAACAGTAACTCCTCTGGTGCCTGTGTAACAGAGTCATGCTGGGATAATACAGATAGAGGAAAAATTACATCACTGGAGCTGTTAAGAAACCTCTGCTTTATCTTTAAACTAAAATAAAGGCAAGCAGTAAAAATTTCCTGCTGGAGGCTCCCCCTTATGAACAAGAACTCATTCTAAAATGTCACGGTTCTGCTCTTTGTGCATTTGGTGGTATAGGAATGAGACTCCTCATTCCAACAGGAGGAGGTTTTATCTCTGTCTGTGACAGACAGAGTGGCTGGGTTTTTAGATGAACAGGGTGGGAGCAGACACTGCTGTAGCTGCATTGGTGAGTTTCTGGCATAGCGCTTCTGCATGCAAACACTGGAGAAAGTAACTAAACGGGCAGCTGGGGGCTGGAGAGGATCTCACAGCAATGTGAGCGTAATGGTCCACGTCCCTCCTGTTCAACTGTATCCGCTCCTGGAGACCAGAGAAGATGCACAGGCTCCTGAAGAAAACATTTAAACCAGTTCTGTCCCATTCTGAGGAAGCGATGCTCATCCGCCTCAGTGCTAAGGCATCCTCTGACACCCCAAGAGGTAAGTTTTGGTTGAAGTGCTAGACAAGGAAGTCAGGAGCTGTTGCCTCTGTGCTGAAGTAACTGTGCAGTTGTTCTCAGCTGAGTGGCAGCATCCTGTCCTGCTGTCCCACCTTGTCCCCATCTCCTGTTGCCTTGCAGCTCATCCTGTAAGTGCTTTTTTCCCCAAAGTGCTTCCAGAAACCACCAAGGCAGCTGCTGTCCTGTCCTGAGGGTTGTCGTCTTGTGCTCCCCAGAGCTGCAGCTGACACTTCCCCGTTGCTGACAGTGACACATGGTGTGTTTTAATAGTTTCAGTAACTGTTCAAGTCAAAAAACCCACCAGTGGGTTTGAGTTGAAGTAGAATTTGCTGCTTTGCAACTTTAACATTTTATAGCCTTCTCTTAGTGTTTGAATGCATGATTAGCAGTGTTTTCTGCTGATTATATTTAATTAGCTCTTGCTGCCATTCCCTTTTCCCTTCCTAATGCAGGCACCAGGAATTCTTCCAGAAGTTTCCATAGCATGGAGTCACTTACAGAGAATGCTTTGCTCAAAGTGTCCCTGATGCTACTCCCAAACATGCAAGCAGAAATCAGAAAACCAAAGTGTCTGTTTGTCCCTTCTTCAGTGCTGAATCCTTGCAGCTGAAGGTATTCAGATATTAAATAGCTGTCAGATGGCTTAGCAGGAAACTTGCTGACTGAGAGCAAGAAATGTTCTTTATTTTCTCCATAATCTTTTGCTTCCTGGAACTCCCAGAATGAACTAATACCATATCTATGTTTTGAGTGGGAAGTGACTCGTATGCTGGTGTGGTGCTGGTGCTCACAGATGCTGCTCCACATGTACCAGTTGCTTTCCCAAGGACAACTCCAGTAACACTGAAGTGTGAGGGTCACATCACTGGTGCAGATGACAGCGTTCACACAGCTTGGGTGAGTGCTGGCAGACATTAACCTTTTATTTTTTTTTAAATAAAAATGCTGAAACCAGTCTCTCATCAGTGCTCTCTGTAGAAACTTCAACACAGGACGCTTTAGTTTTCTGACCTTTCTCTGTGAGGTTTTGACAGTTTGAAGACTTGAAATAAGAATATTGAAATGAATCAGTTCTTAGGTACTTAACCACAGCAGGGGACAGATCCCAGAGAAGTGGTTTGCTCCTGGGGTTAGCAGGAGGTTCAAGTTCAGCAGCAGAACCGCACAAGGAAGCCACTGCACCATTTTCATCTGAATTCCTCTGGTCAGTGGCAGGACAGTGCAGGAGTTGCAAGCATTTTGCTAAATATTCCTGGGCAAAGCTGCCCTGCAGCTGGAGGGGATTTTCAGAAGAAGAGGTGGTTTTCAAAAGGCTTTTTTTCAGTTGAATTCAGTAAATCCTGCATTGTTTGTTCTGCTGTGCAACTGGGTTTAAACCAGCCCAAGTACCAAGGGAATGAGAGATGGTTTTAGAAGGCTGAGGAGAGCTTGGGGCTATGAGTAAGTCTCATTTCCGTAACAGATTAATAAATATACAAAAGGGTTAATTAGTTTTGCTTATGCGGGCTGCAGTCACATCGTACAAGCTGTCTCTGAAGGCTCGAAGCAGCCACAAAGTTGAGGATCCAACAGGGACAATATTCCTGAGTCACCAAAAAGCCTTTCAAAAATTCTTCTGCTAAAACTTGCGAGTGCTGCAAGCGGTTGGGACAGGTGGGGAAAAAAAAACCCAACCCTTGTAATGCTGAATGTTTGAGCAGTAATGAAATTAAGTGTTAATAAATGCACAGAAACACACGAGAAAAACAAGTTGAGAGATGTAGTACTAAGCTGTCGGGTATCTCTTATTATTTAGGAAAGAATCTGAAGGTATCACAGCCTGAATTCTCATACCCCCAGTACAGGGGTGTTGGGATTTCTGGCTGAACCCAGTGTGACTCCAATTGCATCAGACACCTGAGACCCCCAGTGAACAAGTAAACAGTTTGTACAAAAACATCTTACTACAACTGGGAAACTACTTTGTTATTCTCCAGCACAGGTAAATGAAAGAGATTCTTAATTATTACTTCTAAATGAAGCAGCTCCTGATCTCTTCTCCAGAAAAAACTTGATTCAGTTTTCTATTTTAAAAGGTAATGCAATTATCCATCGTAAAGCAAATGGATAAATACAGCAAGTATCTGTTCCACTTAAAAACAAAACAAGGCACCAGGTAAAAATAAGTGTTTCTGAACTGGAGATTTTTTTATTATTGTTATTTATTGCACTAAGGAACAGCAGGGCAGTTTCACAACATCACTTTCTGTTTGGAAAATATCTGTAGTATTACTCTTAAACTCAAGAGTATTTTTGTCATTGGACTCGAAAAACACTGCGGGTTTCTCCATTGGTTAATAAGACAGCACAGATATTTAAAAAAAAATCATTCCAATTTACTCCTTTGTGGACAACTTCTTCTATCGCAATGACAAATGCTTAAGATTAAAGCAAAGTTAACGTATCCGGGCCGTATGAATACATGGAAAGATTTAACAAAATAGAAAAAACCCACAATAAAATAAATGGAAACAGAACTCCTATTTTTGCAATCGTGTCCATGAAGTCACCTCTCAAGGGTAAAACACGCGGCACTTCCAGCCCTTCCCAAGCGCTCGGCAGCTACAGCTGATTTGGGGTGAGGGTGGGACAGGCGAGTCCAAACGAGCCACTACAAAGCCCAGCCTAAAGCAAATCCCGGGGACTACGGCTACGCGCTCATCAGCACCTATTTGGAGTTTATGGCTGTTCCTTACGTGGTGCAAAGTCAAAACTTTTCAAAGCCCTGTCATCGTTATGTCAATTTACATGTAATTGTTTAATTTCAGTGTCCCAGGAAAATATAAGAAAACAGTCTTTCCACAAGTATAAAATGTGGAAATGTTTTAAAAAGAGGGGAGTTGTCATTTTCTAACGCAAATGCAATCATCAGATTCTGTATTTAATCTTGGTAAGAGGTTCTCGTCATCAAGAATCCGTGTTTTGTGGCTTCTGCATGCACTTAACTGGAACAAAGCTTGCTGAAGGTCTTCTTAAGAGCTTACCAGGACGTAGATCATGCTGGAAAATAGAAGAAAAATATTACAATGCACCGTTTTGGTTAGCATTATACATTTAATTATACAGTCCTATATTCCAAGGAACAAATCTGTGTGAGATGTGTGGATCGTGACTGAAGAAGGGCATTGTAAAGCACGGCACGATGCAACAACAGTTGTCACAACACGAGTGCCATTACAACAGGGAGCCCTGTACAACAACGCCCACGTGTTGAAAGCTGAACTGTCGCAGCTGTGTTGGAAGAAGTGCGGCATGAAAGAGGGGAGATTTAGATTAGACACCAGGAAGAAATTCTTCACTCTTGGAATGATTCTTCTACCTTCAACAGAAATCCCATTTACATCAAAATACTTACTCTAAAAATATTACTGTGCCATTTTTCTAGTGAAAATAAGAAGGAAGGGGGTGTTATATTATGCTTAAAATACGAGAAGTTTGGAGCTTTCAAGCTTCCAGTCATGGTATAGAGATTCAATGAGTAATTCTGACCAAATTAAGACATGTTTTAAAGCAGAAAAAATAGTGATTGTGGATTCTTTAAGCTGGCACTGTATACGTACAAAATTCCTCTAAGCTTAATCAAAAATAAATTCAGCCTGAAGATCAGATGGGAGACAAAAGACAAAAACTTACCCATATAGGTAGTAAAAAAATGATAGAAGGTAAAAAGCTAATTTGCACCATCCTTCTTTCTGGCAATAGGCTAAAATGTCTGCGTTCATGATGGTTGTAGGATCGTACAGACCAGGGCCACTCATCACGGGTCTACTCATATACCTGAAGGGGAACCACAGTTAGGGTTGTGGTGATGGCGATGGGAAACATCGGTTCCTGTCCCCCACCCACCAAATTAGACCAGAACCGAGACACGGGGTCACAGCTGTCACACAAAGTCCAGCAGCTCCACGGAGGAGCTGGGAACTGCAAGAGCAACGTGAGGCTCCAAAATAACCAAACCTAGGAAGAGCTTTCACAGGGGGTGCTGCGATAGCTCACCGCAGCCTTAAACCCCACTGAGCTCCGGTACACCGAGACAGGCCAAAGTTATAAATAAATGAAAAATGGGATTCCTTAGGAACGGGCTGGGAAAGCTGGAGAAGTGACCAACACATGCCCCTGTGTAACCTCTATCCACTAACACAATGCGTGCTGGTACCACGCGGCAGGAACACCCACCCGGGTCAATACCAAACGATCCCAAAATCACAGGTTAACGCAGGCGAAAGGGGCAGTCCCACCTGCACCCTGCACAGCACTAACACCAGCTGGAGGAAACACAGGGCCTGTGTCTTCATGGTAGGAGGAAGGTGGGATTGCTGAATCCCCACTGCAAATACAGCTTTGACACGCCAGCAACCTTCAACACACACAACACGACTCGGTTCTCACACAGCACATACGAATAAAGAATCAAAGTGATGAAGAAAGCAAAGTGACAGTTCTAATTTCATAGCCATGGCATAAACTTCCTCAGTGTCACAGCAGAAAGCATCTTTGTTTGCCAAAGACACCAAGCAGTGAACAGGGAGCACGAGCAACAATTAACACGAGCACAGACACCAGGCGCATCAGTATTACCTCCAAATATGGTAAGCCAACAAAGGCATATTGAGACCCAGCGTAAGCCACTCTGCTGCACAGAGAAACATAACACAGAAGAATGCATGGATGAGGTACTCTGGAAGTACAAGCTGGAAAAGAAAAACAGGAATTAGAAGTTGCAGTTACTCCAAGCAAAATGTGTGGTGGTTACTCTCTTTTGGAGATAAGCTATCGCTTAAAAACATCACTTGAAAACAACACTTAACAAGACTGCAGAAAGTGAAAACAGCAACCAGTAGTACCTGCCTTGCTGTTTTCACAGGACAGTCACGAACCAAGGAGACAATTTACACAATCAAATGCTCAGATCAATAGTTCTTTTATGGCTTCTGTTAAATTAAGTGCACTGTGAGCAGATTCCACGCTTTACACGTGACCTTCATAACAGCAGAGATCATCAAGATATTTCTGCTCATGCAACAGAGAAATATCAGCAGG